TGGCGACGTGAAGTGGCGGATCTGATGATATTGGTGTGCCTGTTTGTGCAGGAAATGGTGCAAGTAAGATGCACAGGGGGGAAGGGGGATGGGAGGGGGGGCATGTTGGGGGGGTTGGGTGGGGGGAGGAGAGGGGGGGGGTTCCGTGGGAGGCCGAAGAAGAAGAATGGGTTGGAGAGAAGGGAAGGATGGGGCCCCACACTTTCTCCTTTCAACCCTTTCCTTCCACCTTCGAAGTAACTCAAGTCGAAGCGCCCAACAACCGCCATAGCCGTATGCTGGCCCCTTCTCAAAACCAAACCCCGCTTACCCCCTCCCCTTTCCCCCTCCCGCTCTCCCTTGCTGCCTTGTTTGTCACCCAGGGTCCTTGTTCCAGCAACCAACAGTCTCTGGCGGGTACCAACTTCCTTGCCTCGTGTAACCGAATATTCGGATGTATTGGGTACTCGGCCAAGCACGTGCCCCGGCCTGACGACCGAAGCGGGGAGGATCGGAAGATCAGCCTCAATATGTGCAACGTCAAGTCGGCCTTGCTCAACCTGCTGGCCAGGTAATGTGGGGAAGCAGGAGGGAGCGGGAGGGAGTGGGCAAGGAAGGGGGCCGAGGAGAGGAGAGATCCTCCCGACCTCTTCTCTGTAGAAAGGCCGGTGTGTTTTGCTCCCGTCCACCAACCCGTCCCCCGTCCCCGTCCTAACCCTTCCGTCAGCCATGCCTGCCTGCTTCCCTGGCCCTCCGCCTCCTCCTTCCCTCCCCCCACGGGCTATGTTGTCAGCTTCATGCGTGATTTCCCCTTCCCTTCCCCCCCTTCGTCCCCCCTCCCTTTCAGCCTGCTCGAGGCATGTCCCTCGGAAGATGTTCCGGGTCGTTGCTCCGAGATCCTGGACTTCGGCGTCGTAGACCGGCAGATCGGCCGGCTGTGTTCCGTGCTAGGTATGGCGGGTACACCACCCCGTTACCCCGCGGACGGAGAGGATGTGGCGGACTGCGACCCGGAAGTGCCCGAGGAGGCCGAGGTGGGTGGGGTGAGGGGGGCATGGGCTTTTCGCAGCACCATCCTCAGGCGGACTTTGTTTTGACTCCCTTGCCTCTCCCCTCTCCCCTCTCCCCTCTCCCCGGCACCCAACACGCAATACGTACATACATACCAGCTCATCAACATTTCGTCCAAGCTGGAAGACGAGCTGTTGCTCTTCTGCTCGTACATCCTGAAGCTGCACTCGGTAACACCCAGCCGCCCACCGCCGCTGCCGTACATCTGGGCGCTGCACAATGGTGCAGAGGTGGATAAGGTATGGAAAAAGGGGGAAGACGTCGGGGCGTGAGAGATGACCGTCTGCGCATGTGTGTATGTGTGTATTACATCCGCTGCTTGTGCAAGCCATTAGCGGTCCCGCCTCAACGAACCTGTCTAGTGTACGTACGCCAACTACGCCTTTACGCAGTCCAAAAAAGGCACCCATCGAACGCTTGTATCGGCGCATAGTAACTCCGGAACCGTGGCGTGTGCATGTCTGCATGCACCTGCGTGCTTATCTTGGGAATGCAACAACACTCCACCTCTCCTGATGTTTGTACGTCTGATGTATGTATGTTTGTCTGTACGCCCAGATGGACGAGCTGACCCCGGAGCAGCAGCTGTACGCGGGCGAGCTGCAGGCCTTCCTGCAGCGGCGACTGGGGTATGTGGAGATCAACTGGCGGGGGCAGCTGGTGGAGCCGTTCTTCTTCAAACTGACACCGGAGGTACGCGAGGGGGGTCTGTGTTGTTAGTCTGCGCTAATGTGCTGTCTCTGTCTGTCTGTCTGTCTGTCTGCCTGTCTGCCTGTCTGCCTGTCAATCTGCCTGTCTGCCTGCCTGCCTGTCAATCTGCCTGTCTGTCTGTCTGTCGTGTTTTTGGCTGCGTGGCCGCATGTGCCGTTCATACGTTTGCATTCCGTTATCAACAGGCCTTCCTCCCGCTCCTCCCCCGCACTACTCCCATGTTCCCCTGCGGCCCCCGTTGCTGTGCCGGCCCCTCCCTGCCGCAGTGCTCCAACCTGGTCACCAGCAAGTTGTGGTGCGACGTCACTCTGGACCGGATCAACAACACCGTGTCGCCGGACAGCCGGGCGTTCCCCACCGTCAAGGCGGCGGAGCTGGTGGAGGTGCTTGAGGTAGGGACGGGACACAGAGGGGGGAGGGCCTGGGAGGGGCAGCTGGGGAAGTGGGTAGGGAAGTCTAAGATGAAGGAGGACGAGAAGGGCCACCGGGTGCGGGCGCGACTCATCGTGAGGAGGGCAAGAGGGCAGGCGGTGGGGCCTTGCAGCAGCAGCAATAGCAGCAACAGCTAGTGAGAAAGGAAATTCCCCATGACTGCTTTCGAGTTAGTAGCTGTAGCAGTAGCAAATGGCGCGCCATCTATCTACTGCCGGCCGTTCCCCTCGGCTCGGTAGCCACTTCCCTCCACCCCCATCCCCACGCCCCCACCCAGGATGTGGTGGACGATATCGAGTTGGAGTCCCGGCTGGGCAGGAACCGCTGGCTCAAGGTGGGGACGGGGACCCTGTGGGTGGGGTGGGGGGGGAGAGGAAGGGAGGAAAGCTTGACGTTGTGATGGAGAGAAAGGTCAGGGGCCCGAAGGGGGGAAGCGGACATGGGGCTCTCTGGAGTGCATCCGGACTGCATTCCTCCCTGACTTTCCCCACCTACCTATACCTTTAGGCCTCAATTTCCTTCAGCTAACCTTGGCAGCTTCCCCCTCCCTTCCCCCCCAGGCCGTGTCCATCATGGCCCAGTACCGCATGAGGCTGTTGGAGCTGACTTTCTACCTGGCGGTGGGGACACTCATCTTCCAGGTGGGGGGAAGGGGTGAGGAGCGGGGTTGTAGGATGTAGAGGGGAGGGGGGCCAGGGGGGCTGGGAGGTGCCGTGTGTATGTGTATGTGGGAGAAAAAAGGCCTCAATGGAGGGCTTGTCCAGGAGCCCAATATTCGACTGGTGGATATGGGTGGATAGGTGGCTGCGGGTACCGCCCTCCGGCCTCTTCTCCACTATATTGATGTATGTATGCTGCCTGTCCTCTCCAACAGCTCCCATACTCTCCCCTCTTCCCCTCTTTCTCTCCCCCAACTGCTTCAGGCCCTGGCTGATGCCCGGTGGAGCCCCCACACCTCCTTCCAGGAGCGCGGGGAGAACTGGGCCACAATCGTGCTGTCGGTGGCGGTGATGCTGCAGTCCACATGTACGATACTGCTGTACACGTCGTTCGTATACACAGGTCAGGGTTGGGTGGGTATGCGGGTGTGAGGGGCTGGCGTGGGGAATGCTGACTCAAACCCCCACACCCCTTCCATGGCCCATTACCCACGTAAATTCCCCCACCCCCCACCCCTACCCCAACCTAGAGTTAAACAAGTACATGAGCCACGGAGTCCCCAAGACCATTGCCGCCATGAACCAGCTAGCAGGGAGAATGCGGGAGATATTCACATACGGAAGCGGGGGAGGTGGTGGCGGGGGCCAACCACGAGGCGGAGGCGGAGTTGGGGCTGAGAATGAGGAGGAAGTGCTGGACCAGGGTGTGTTTGCTGCCCGAGAGCTGGGTTTGCCTCCGCCCCCCCTGAACCGCCGTCGAGGCTGGGGCGACTTCTTCCAGCTGGCTGCGGCGGTGGTGGCCACCATTTGTCGATACGCTAAGTTCTGGTACTTCAACATGTTGGTATCCGCCTCCCTGGCTGGGTTCTTTGTGTCGCCCTTCTTCCTGGTCTTCCACTTCACCATCTACTTCCTGGACTTTGATAGTGGTGAGGGAGGGGGGAGGAGGGGCTGGTGTGTATGATGTGTGGGACAGGGGGGTCATATCTTCACCCTGCGGCCCCTACCCGGCAGACCCTGCCTTCCCCGGTATTTCGCGGCACCCTCATCTAGTCACCCTAGTCAATTTCTCAGTGGGTCACTCAGGTTCCGCACCCACCACCGGCATCCAACGGAATCTGCCGGATCGACGGCTGCTGAATTCGATTCCTGGTCAGCTCGCAAGTTAACTTTATCCCAGGTCACCAACGTCCATCGACTGGGGGCACGTAAACTTTCCACCGTCGGAAGAATTTCCGACCTAACCCTGACCCTAAGGTCTCGACCCCAAGATATTCTAGGGACATTGGTGTGGATGAGAGTAGCGGCTGACTTAATTCACAATGTTACGGATGTATGGCCCCTATCGGGATCGAACCGATGACCTTGGCGTGCCCACAGATATTCACCACGCTCTAACCAGCTGAGCTAAGGGGGCTGAAATTTTGGGAGCAGCATTATATAGCAACACTCACATATCCGTGACATTTTGTGTGTGTATGTCTCTATTTTGGTTTTAGCTATTCTGTCCCTCCATGCTGAAACCGTGATGATGTGGTTGTCAGATACCCGGTGGAGGATTTAGCGAACTGGGTAGTGAATCTCTGGAATGTCCTTTTCCCCCCTAGGTGTTATGTTATCAATCCACCTTCCGCCCCGTACCTCCCTCCTCGCCTTTCCTGGGCCACTTCCCCCTCGGCTTTGATCTCCGCCCCACATCCCTTCCCCCCTCCCCCCACACACATTCCGCGGGGTCTCCCGACAGGCAAGCAGCTGGTGATGGCCATTCAGCGGTCTGGCATGAACATCCTGAACACCTTTGTGTTGGCGGTGTTGGCCATCTACACCTTCGCCGTGGTGACGTTCCTAGTGTTCCAGGAGCCCACTACCGCTGACAAGGGGGACGGGCCCCCCTGCGACACCTTCTACCAGTGCATGGGGGCACACATGCTGACCGGCATCATGGGGGACATCTCCAACCTCTTCAACTCGGACCTGTGGGATACGGGTGAGCTAGGGGCAGTCGAGGAGGGAGCTGGGGGAAGGGGAGGAGGGAGGGAGAGAGGGTAAGCTGGGGCGGGAGGGAGGGAAGGAGGGTACCTGCATGCTGCTAGTCGCTTAGCATAAGTTGCTGTTGTTGTATTTCGTTCTACTGTTTGTACGCCCTTTTTTCCCCCTCCCCGTTTCCCCCCACTTCCCCCCCACACCCCACCACCTCCTCCCGACCTCCCGCAGTACCTTCCCAAGTGGGTGAGGACGGTCTGCAACAGGCCCGGACCCTCTTTGTGCTGTTCTTCTTCATGATCTGGAACTTCGTATTGAGCAATATTTTCGTGGGCCTTATCGCCTCCGCCTTCGAGGCCATTCGTGATGACCAGAACACCATCACCTCGGACCGCCTGTCCAAGTGCCTCATCTGCTCGCAGGACATGTACCTCTTTAATGAGAAGATACAGGTGGGGGTCTGTTGGGGTCTGTGTATGTGTATGTTGAGGGGGGACCTTGAGGCGGGGATTGCGAGGGATGAGGTGTTTAGGGGGGTCGGGGGCTGGGTGATCAAGCCTTTCATAACTCCAATGTGAAAAAGGGGCTTAGGGTTTTATATACTGATTCATTTTCTCGCTTTCATCACACCATCATCATGCTTGGCTAGTGCTAAACATGTTGATGGCATATCCTCCCCACCGCACACATATACACACATACACACCTTATGCCAAAACACACCATGTTATCTTCTCATCTTCCACCCGCTCCATTTACAAACCCCTCTTACCTGCCAACCAACTGACTAACTGCCGCCGGGTGCCACCTTAGGGCGGTTTCGAGGAGCATATCATTAAACAACACAACGCCCTATCGTACGTCTTCTTCCTCCATCACCTGCGAGCCACCGCCCCGGAGGACTACACGGGTACGGAGAGTGTCGTACGTGCTGTACTGGACAGTGCCAAGACCAGCACCGACAAGGGCACCTGGTTACCGGTGTCGAAGTCTCTGGCGGTCATGCACGCGACTGCTGCTGCCGCTGCTGCTGCCAGTGGTGGTGCTGGGGGAGCTGGCAGCAGAGAGGCCGGGCCGGGAGGGGGCCCCAGCAGCTGACCACCTGATTGAGCTCTCGAAGATAGCCTCCCGTGGTGAACCCCTTTTGGCTGTGGCGTTGAAGGGGCTGTACATGTTTGAGTGGGAGGGGGTGGGTGCGGTTACCATTTGGACGGATGGATGGATGCTGGCAGGGGTTGGGGTGCTCGCATCGAAATGTTATAATCGCTCGGGTGGAATAAGTACATATGTATGTAAGTATATCCCAATATATATGTATTTTAAGTATGCAAAATTCTCCCGATTGGTGGGGGGCTACTTACACAGGCATGGCTGTACGGCAAAGGTGTAGCAACCTGCTACTGCTACTTCTGCTGTTGATGCTGCTGCTGCGTGTTCACTCTCTCCACTGAAGGGGGCTGCCAATGTCCTTTTTAGGTTGCTTATTTACTGCTTTTTGAACCACAACTGCGTGCGCGTGATGCCTGTGTGTGCTCATGGGACATTGCACTTGGAGAGGAAAGGTAGGAGAGGAAAACATTTGCGTATGTATGTATGTATGTATGTATGTATGTATGTATGTCCGTATGTCTTTCTGTCTGTATGTATGTATGCATGCATGTATGTCTCACACATTCAGCTGAGTGCTTGGCAGTGAAAGAACTGTCAACTTAGCTCAGCTCAGCTCGCCAACCGGTGTTCGTGGTTGATGTCGCCGAGCATGCATTATCAGTACCACATTACCCGATTACATGAGAGAACTATGATTGTACACCTGTTGCTGTCAAAATACTGGATGGTAATGGTGGTGGTGTGGTGGCGGTTGATATGCACGTCCTGCCCATCCGCTCTGCTGCGGTTGTCATTATTATTGTACTGCTGGTGTCATACTTTTGTCGCACACCTTACATATTCTGGAAAAGTGTTGGCAAGATGTGACTCGTGGGAACGGTGGTAGAATACCTTTGTTGTTGCTCTGCCGCTGCCACTGTGTCTGATATGGTGGCTCATATACTGTTCCTCCTTTCCATTGCTTTGCCCGGGTTGCGATGTGAAGTACAATACACCTGTATGCGGCCTGATGGTGTCCCCCATTTGGCTCACGGGGGGCCCGGATGTGCACCTTTTGGAACCCGAAACGTGTGTTGTGATGTGTATTGGTTGTTTTCAATTCATCAACTTCAAGCCGTTGAGAAGCTGGGAGAAGGGGGGAGTGGAGGAGACGAGGGGGAAGAAGGCGAAATGGCCTCCGAAGCTCATACCTAGCTATAGGGGGTGGTGGTGGTTGCGGATTTGGTGCAGCACGCTGCTGTTTGCATGTGATGCACAGCCCCACCCACCAGCGACCTCTGTGATGCTCTATCTTACCCGGTGTGTCCCGCATGTGTGCGGGTTGCTTTCAGACCTGCAGCCGCCTTTGTGGCAGACAGCTGGGGATGTGTCTCATGGAAAGCCCTACCATGAAGAAGATGAAAACGATAAGGAGTTTCATGAAGCGAGATTGATAACGATGATGATGGTGATAATGATGATGACAGTGATAATTGCCCTAGAACAGATGTTTGTCCGTATGCATGTGTTTACAGGCGAGTGGTCAGGCGCGATTCTAAAGAGGGGAGGGGAAAGGGGGAAACACATTACAGCGACAGTGCAAGGTATTATGTTTTAATGGTCTGAGCCACGCACGTACGATGAGCGAAATGCCCTTCAGGTTGGTGGTACATTAATAACTTTACCCACGCGAGCTGCGTAGTCCAGTAGCAACATGTTAGAATTCTATAATGAAGCTGTACGTTAAATTCTTGTTGTGGATGATTAGAAGAAGTGATGTCAGAGCCCGTAGAAGTAAGCAGAGGCGCTGTCACAGCGCCTTACCACTACGGTAGTGGTAAGGGGTGATTAGCAGGTGTTGAGCAGCTAGAACTGACTACAGATAATGAGGGCATTAGAGTTACAAGTTACAAGTTCCGCACACAAGTGCGGGTGTGTCCGTAAAAGCCGGGGGGCCCATGGACGTTGCATTGGTATTGATGCGAGTACGCGGGAGGTCATCTTCATTCTCCCTCGTCCGCTTCAGGGCGAAGCGCCTCAGCGCGACATGCCTGGCCTCCCAAATTTCCGAGAGGTACCTGGCCAATGCCAGGGGTGGCGCCTCAGTCATAATGGTGCGCATGCTGCGCCCCCTAAGGACTAGGTCACCATCAATCCATCACTAGATAGAATTCAAAAACCCATTTAGCTAAGCTAGCGGACAAGGCAGAGGGTCATTACTGAAGCCTCAGCGCTCGTCCACCGTACACAGCCAAAGTAGCAGGGTGCACATCAGCAACGAGGGCAGCATCTAGAGTATGTACCACTGTTCCCCTTCCTGTGCCGCCAGCTTCGCCGCCCTAGCCACCCACACCCTGCACACATTCTCCTCTCTCTCACCCCTACTGCCCAACTCTCCCCCCCCCCAACCACCCGGCGTAGAGCCGCCTGAAGGGGGTGCGGGCGGTCTCCTAAGCGTGTAATAGATGGGTCAAAAATTTCGACCATCCTATGGAGGTGAGTTCTTCGCTCTCTCTTCTCCGTTGGCCACCCGCCCAGAACTTGCGTCGGGGTTGGCTGGGGGGGTAAAATTCAGGAAGTGCTCCCGAAGGTGACCGGAATACGGCCTGGATGCTGTGGACTACATCTAAGCAAGCCTGGATGGCTCAAGCTGGAGAATCACAGATATGACTCCGATAGGGCTGCACGATGGAGGAAAAGATACCGCACAAGTAGCAGGAATCAGGCTGGTGGTCGTGCAGGCGATTCTTGGTGAGGCCGGATGACCCAGGTTCGAGTGCTACCGATATGACTGGCGTGATACTGGAGGACCCGGTTGGGGTGTTGCGGATGCGATCAGGCCTGATAGCCCAGGTTCGGGGTGTCGTGGAGTCGACAAAAGTGAGGCCTCATGGCCCAGGTTGGGATGTCGCAGATGCGACCGGCGTGAAGCCTGATCATTGGGATATCGTGGATGCGATGGAAAGGAGGCCGGATGGCCCTTGCTGGGGTGTCGCGGATGCGATGGAAAGGAGGCCGGATGGCCCATGCTGGGGTATCGTGGATGCCACTAAAGTGAGGCCCATTTGGATTCGAAGACGTGACAGAATTAAGGCAGAATGCTGTCCATCGGGAGTCCCTTTAATATCACACACCCTTGCTGACACGAGGTGAAAACGTATTCCGGTTGGTTGACTGGGACTTCCCCAGATGAAAACGACCGGAAGAAGAAGGTAGTATCTTCGCAGCAGAGGCCGGCTGTGCAAGGAGTCGCAGATGCAGGAGGAGGGTACCCGGACAGCCAGGGGCACGTCCTCGGGTGCTGCTCGGGAAAGGCCGCCCACGAGCCAGCACCAGGAGGCTCCCCAGATGAGAGATGTGGTAGAGGAGGCGGCTGCAGACAGCGGGGAGAGAGCAGTTGAAGAAACGCAGGCAGACCTCAGTCAGGTGGGGAAAAGCCCTCAGATGCAGCCTTAGGAGTCGCTAACCAAGTAGGCAATGGTGGTGCGGATGTGTTGAGAACGTCATCGGCGGCCGGTGCAGTGGACTCTAGGAGGACGCGACCTCTCCAGGCCGCCGCACCGGCTGTTGAGCAGAAATTACTGCTGGATCAACCGCAGCTTGGGCCGCTACCGACGTGAGAACGCACAACTGCTTTCTGGGAATTGTTCAAGATGGCAGTGCTTGAGACACAACCCCAGTTGGTGGCTGAAGCCCAGAAGACCTACCCTGTGCGGTACCGAGGGTGGGTTATCAGTCCGACGTCTTTACCCCCATGAGTAGGTACAATGGTGTTTGTGTGGCAGCGGCAGCGTACAAAGCTTTCACCGCGGCTAAAAGGTTGCTGCATCACTCCCAATTTCAGGAATGGTGCACGAGGATGGCGATAGCTGGCGATAGCCCTGGCAGAGACTGACATAGTGGCGGTATTTGTAGAATACCTGAGGAGGATCCCAGATCCGGGCTCAGGTCAATGGGATTTCTTTGTGTCAACAGTGATCGGTAATCTGAACCCGCTACCGCGGGGGGTCATCTCTGAAAGGGAATGGGCCGCTAGCGTCGTTCCGCCTGTGGTGATGCTTCACCGGTTGCTCTGGGTACTTGGTGGAAGGTTCCCGGATCAACTCAAATGAATCAACCGCAAGCGACGAGTGGACGTGAAGGAGCCGAGCTGGCCACATCTGGACAGCCCGAAAGTAACCTGATTTGAACGAAGAAGCTGCAGGTGGGACCGCAAGCCGGCTGCAGACGGCAGGGGCGCTTATGACTGGCCAAACCTTTTGGTGCGAGACCTGCAGTCTCAGCAGTTTCCCAAGCCATCACTGGGCAGATGCGGACGGATACATTACATTCAGCAGAAGGTCACGGTGTACCCATGATGATCCCATGCAACCCTCAGCAATCCCATCGAGGCCACCTTTCAGCTCGCGCTGAGATTTGAACTCAGGTCGGTGGATTCAGAGTCCACAGTGCTAACCACTACACCACGCGAGCAGTGTACTGCATGTACGACATCTTAATCCTAATCATAATGACCCAGTACAGTACTTCCGTAACGCAACGCACAACACGCCGTTCTGCCGCCTATCTACCTACCTTCCTAGTGTTGCTGTGGAAATATTGGAGTGACACAATGTTTTGGTCCGGCAAGCAATCCATTTTTGGCTGTTGGAGAGGCGGGCACCCGGGTATATATTAGAGGCCTCTAGGGGGCCAGATTTCTTTGTCCAGGGTTCGTGAACGTTGGTGCATGCCTATCTGCTGCATCTACCTACCTGCTGCATCTATGACTCCCGACGACCTGACTGCCTGGCTATCTGCCTGCCTGCATCGGTATGTAGGCTACGCCAGGTGGGAGCCAAATACAGGTGTTGCCATCAAGCAACCGAACAAGTTGCACTCACAGGGCACATACTTGTACTTTTGTTGCAACCAAATACAAGGCTGTCCCTTCGTAAGCAACTGCAAGGAGCTACAGATTTGTAACAAATAACTGAAACAAGCCAAGCTCTCAG